CCTTTTCCGTCCTATTTCGTTATTTTATTTTGCCTTTTTTATAGGTTTTTAGGTCCTAAAAATCCGTTCCCTGGTGATGTACAAACAATTTTCTTTAAAAATACGCATACCTTTTAAAAATATTTGTTTCAACACATTTTGCAATAGGACTGCGCAATTATTAAATTTATTTTAACTCATACTAATTGATTAATCTCACAATCCGCTTTTAAGAGCTCGGCGCTAAAAATTAAATAATAACGAGAGATCATCTATTTCCACAATTTCTTCAAAATACCCTATAGTGTCTGAATGAATTACATTTCTGTTGTAATATATTGAGCTATTCAACCTTGATAACATACTGTTTGATACTGGAAACGTTTTGCAGCAGAACTATTAGCCTTAATTTTTCGAATCTAAGTTTTTGTTGAATTCGTTACGAAAAAAAACCGCGCTCAACAAAGAATGTGAGTGCGGCAAGTATAATAATATGAATTTACTTATATTTCCAAACATTTTATTGCCTGTTGCGCACAGTGGTCTTGAAGCAACCATAGCTATGACTAAAATGCCAACCAAAACGGCTTACATAACTGTCTTTGTACATAATCATAGATCAAAATTTCGTTGAAAATAAAATTCCATCTGCTCCTATGCTTAAAATATTATAAAATGTTGATCTAGAACTTTCCAAATCTAGTTATATAATCGCGAAGGTCTATGGTAATATAATTATAACACTTTCTTACGTTATAAGCATAAAATATTTTAACTTAGTTATTCAAGAGATAATATTACATAATTGCATATTTTAAAAATTCTTATTGCATAAATTTTATAAATTTACAAAGTCAATATAAAATATTATTTTATATAAATTCATATGTGTTTTGATGAAAATTCAACGACAGTTTTTTTTTAATTGATTATATATTTAGGGTCGTCAATCGAATTAACTTTATAATTGAGCCAAAATCTTAAAAATACGCCATGAATGGATTCTCCAGCTTGCTCCGACCACATTCCGAAGCCGTCGTTGCCTAAAAAATGCAGACAATGTCCCAAATGATTTAGAAGAACGTGAATTTTTAATGTTTCCGACATTTCTGTGCTTCGGAAGGCTTTAGCGAGTTTACTTACATGATTTTTTAATTCTGACCAAACTGACAAAGCAGTCAACCCATTGGTGGAGTTTTTTTCACTCAATACATTTAAGGTATGTGCTCTCCCTTGTATAACTTTTGGATGGCTGGTTGCCCGAGCAGTGAGCCAGATATAACAAGAGCATGAACTTGTTCTTGTTTCTTTTGTCGAATCTTCATAGTTAGGCATGTTTGGAAGAGGCCGCGTTGCATTTGGTATATCCTTATCTCGGTCACAGAGAACCCTACGACATGTACCACAAATGCCTAATGGGAACTTCGAATTGGTCAATCAAAAATTTTCACTAACGTATTTTTTAATAAGACACTCCAATTTTCCGGTTATATTAAATTCTGAAGGCTTTGACGATCCGAATTTAATCTTTCTCCCGCAAGGCGCGCACACTTTAAATCTGTTCTCTTCGTGATTACACTTATGTTGCGGATGACTTATAGAAGACATGATGTGCAATCAAATAGCTTACACCAGAAATATTATCATCGAGAAAAATACTATCTGTTTTTTTTTACACTAATATACAAAACGATAACTTTAGAATACTCTGTTGAACAAGAAATACTAACAATTGCAGTTAAATTTTTTCCAAATTTTCATTTGACAATATTTTAGGCATAGGAGCAGATATGATTTTAATTCCAACTGCATATTGGTGTATGGATGCCTTCCAAAACAGGTATGCAAGCAGTTTTGGTTGGCATTTTAGTCATACCTATCATTGTTTCAAGACCACTGTGTGCGGTTTTCACGCTGTAAGCAATTATCCAAAATTTTTCAAAGTCGGATGGAATGGTTCTGAAAAAAGTTAATCCATGGGAAAGTTAAAAGATTTAAATATTTAGTTTCCGCTGCTTTTCCTTCCTGCAACGTCAAATAATGAATTGTCAGGTCCCTGAAACTCGCCCTCTTGTGATTCACACACTTTACTGGTGACAAAATTAAAGCTTTTTAAAAGTATTTAATTGACTAGGTAATTGTTTCAAAAGTTCTTCGATTATGGTGATTAAACGTTTTTGGCAGTCTTTTAATATGCTTCTTAAGTCAAGTTTATCACGCAGTTTATTAGCCTATTCTGTAAAATTATCGTGGAAAACTAAGTTTTGTATATTTTTATATTTGGAAAAAATTTATTTGTAGGGAAAAAATGCCAAATCTGGACACTCTGCTGTCCATGGCTATTTTGGTCTTCCCATATAAAAAAGGAAGAAAGACTTATTTTTATATGAAATTAATGTACTGAATGATTTATGACAAACTAACAATCCATTTGCCGCCTCTTTACTAATATTATTAGCAGATACACATTTTGCTAAACTAAGTCGTTCTGAGAGACTTCCCTTTTATGAAAAATTATGGAGCCAGCGAACTATTTAAGGATCATTTACTTTCACAAATTCTTTGCCAAATCGAACTTTAGTTTTTTTGTCGGTTGGGATACTTTGCATCGGTGGTCGGCATACTAACACATCCTTATAAACATTTTGGCGAACGTTCGAAAATTACCTTCGATATCCAATATATATATCGAACTAAAAAAAAACTGATATCCAACCTTAGTTCATAGTATGTTGGAAATACACTCGAGATGGGCTCTATAAAAATTTTTTTTTTTTTTCAAAAACAATAATTATTACTAAAAAAATTTTTATTATAGCTTAAAATTATAGAGGTGTGTTGTACAAAAACACATAAATAGAAGTTCACAAAAGTTGATATAAAACTATACGCCGATTTAAATAAATAACTTTTAACTGCACATGTTTTTTTACGAGGAGGAAGCATCGAAAGCCTAACACCGTCAGTATAAGACTGTAACCCAGAATAAACCTCCTACCGTTATGTACCATTCCCCTCCCAGTACCACCTTCAAGGATTTCGTCGGAATAATAATACTGTGTGACTGATAAAGTGACAGGTCTAATAGGTCCATTCTTTTGCAACCGAGCTACAAAAGAACACTCGCTTAAATGACAAAATTTCACGCAAAGCAACAACACAAACTCGGTCGGTTAAAAAATACGCGACCTGAAGAGTAGTGTTGTTAAGTGAAAGGCATTTTTCTGTAAATGACCAGAGTTTTGAAGATGAAGAAATAAATGAAAACGATGAAGTCAAAAAAGAAGGCGAAAGTGAAGATAAAGATGAAAATGGAGACGAATTAGGGTAACTGAAAGGGTAAGAAAATTTCTTGAATTTATGAAGTGAAACTTCTTTAGCGGCAGTTGGCTGGGAGTATATTGTCAAATTCAAGGGGAATAATGCACATGGAAATGGTACTTAGCGGTTTAGCGGTTTGAGAATAAAAGCAAAAATAAAGATGCTTAGAGATACAGGCAGAAACGAAGATCAAGGTGAATTTAAACACTTTAAGGTAAAGGTGAAGAGGAATATGCAAAAATAAAGATAAATATGAAGAAAATGATGAGGATGAAGATGATTGTTAGCGATATAAAACCCGATATTGTTATCGATATAATAATCGATATTGTTATCGATACAATAACGGATATTATTATCGGTATAATAATCGAAAAATAATTGATTTTGTTATGGATTTAGTAATTGATATTGTTATCGACTCTCCAAGGGTCTTTAAAAACTAGAAGAACGCTCGAATTTCGACAGTAGCTGGCACTCTAGTTTCAATTGTTTTTTGTCTCTTAGTCCCGTTGAACTAATCATATATTTCTTGCCAACTAGCTGCAGGGTTGCTTAATTAGCTAAAAGGAAATTTTACCTGAGTTGAGCGTTCTTTTGTCGCTCGCTTACAAAAAAATGCAGCTAATGATGAACAAAAAATATACATAATTAGAATTTTGAATACATCCTCAAAATCTGGACTTAAGGTATAAAAACGCGTTTTTCATGGGTTAAGCCTTATAATTATTTGTAACTTAATTTCCGATCAAAAATATATACAGTGCATACACGGTAACCGCAACCCTCAATGAGTGC